ATACTCTGCGGAACACTATATGGAGGTGTAAAGAAATTATTCTTTGAAAGAGCTTTGAAAGAAATTAAAATGACCAGTAATAAAAGACCAATAAATTTGAAATTAAGTTAAAACAATATTACAAAGAAATCTCGATACATACTATTCTGTTGTATAGATGTTTTGTATGATCTTTCATACCAGAAAATTCCGTCTGTCTGAGATGTATAAGATTAATAGATCCATTCGAATAAATTAAAAAAAATGTGGTCATTATTGGCAATGGGGTAAATCACCATTATCATTTGCCAAGTTAGACACACCTTTTCAACTTCATTAATTTTGTTAGTTGTTTAATTTAAGCATCAGTAATAATAGTTCATAATGAACAAATCCTTTTTAATCACCCAACAAATCCTTTTTAATCAACTCCAACTGGATGACCGAAGCGATATTCATCTTCAAGTGAAAGATCACTTGAACAAAATTCGGTAGACCAATTTGATACTATGGATTGATGAAGCTTTGTCACCATAAACATCTCGTAACTTTTCGTGAATTTAAATTGTCTCTTAACTTTGTAGAATTGAAAAAATCTGAAATTATAAACTATGACACAAAATTTCCTTTTGATTTTCCATCATTCGATGAATGCCAATGAACACAAAAACTCTTTTTACTTATGGGCATCTAACCTACTTACTATCCAATAACAATGTATTTTGCATTTGGAGTACGTCAGAATACCTAAAAATTCAATTGAAACCACTTTAGCTGAAAAGCACTTTTATAAGTATTTATTAGTATACCGTGCTTACTTTTAACTTAACAGTTTCCTCCCTAATATAATAAAACAAATTCTATATCTATATAAGATAAACATTTAAAACCTTGTAATTTGTTATTTTGAAGTAGTATATAAATTAACCCTGAGCTTTTATTTATATTATATGATACAGATCATAAGAACTAAATGATTTTTGGTTGCTTATGGGTGGGGGTAAAAAAATCGAGTCAATGGATTTTTAATACAATATTATCTCTCAATCAGTATTGAGAGATAATAATTCATAAATCACCAACTATGAATTTTTTATATATGAATTAAAGATTTATCTTGCTGTATATATATCCTGATCGACCATAGCAGCAGATGATACTTGGCTCCTCACTGATTTTCTTCCGAGCGAATAAATCTTTTGTTTTGTTATGTGGGTTTTTGGAAAAATTTTCTTTCCTCCTTTTTTATTAAATTGTAACCACACAATTGTATCACACCTTTTATATTAAAACACTTGTTATTGGATTGATAGAACAGATATGAGGGATGATATACCTATTATATGGGTAGAAATCCGAACGAAATTGGATGTGTTATGTACACATTTATAATTATTGATTTATATATTTTGAATTAAATTAAAAATTCTTGCTGTGTAATGTCCTCTTCCATAATCAATCCGTAAAAAATAGTATCAATTAAGAATAGTACACAATTGAAATCTGCATCTAAAATCTTTTCAATCATCCTTCCAGACTATTATTTTAATATTTAAATCAAATATAAAAGTAATCAAGTAAATCAAATCAAATAAATATCAAGAATAATAAAATAATGAAGATGTTGAAAATGATAATATGAAGTTTATTTTTCTATCCTTTAGGTTTATTATTTCTTTGAGAAATTAATTCTATTTGATTGTCCAGGTTGGCCGCTGCACAGGAGGCTGCCTTAGCCGGGGGCCAGGGCGCAGCCGGTGCGGGCGCAGCTGATAGAATGGGGGGACACCAGCATCACCAGGGGGGCGCGGCCGCGAGAGGGGGGCCCAGCTCCCTCTTCTTGCTGTCCGAGGAGAACCCTATACGAAGGTAAATGATCTATATCAATTTAAAGAATTTAGAAAAAACAGCTTTATAAAGCAAATTTACAATGTGGATGTAGGTATTTGCAGCAAGTTAAAAGCAGCGTTTCAATAATTAAATCTAGATTTGAATAAATCTATTAAAATAGAGTACAAGATGATTTTTAATTAAAATTAACGTCTAATTTATGAACATTTGCATAAAACGAGTTGGCGAAAATTATGATCGTAATATTACTGTAAATTATAATACTAATTCTTTCTTTTTGCAAAGTTTGGGATATTGTTTTTGCACTCCTCTATACTCTTTCTAGCCACATATTTTATTTTCCATCGCGAATAAAATATTTTGTATTAAATTTTCGTACAATTGCAAGGTAATATTTTAAATAATCTAAATAAGATAGTCGATAGATACAAAGTCTTTTAATAAAAAATATTGCTAATGTGCAAAGCTGTATTATTAACTGAGTATAATGAGTAGAATGAGTAGAATTTGGTTAATTTGCATTTTTTACTAGTTCGTATCCGATATTTAAGTTTTAATTGTTTGATAAATCAAACCTTTGCTTGAAGTTTCATTGAAGTTCTTACTGCCCATGTTAGGAAAGGTTCTTATTATTTACGATTAAGGATTAAAACGGTAGATTAGATATCAGAATTCACTGGATTGGGATTTAAAACTGAAAGGCAGTTCATACTTTAGACAAAGATTTCCATATAAGTAATATCAACCCAAATATATATAGAAATTTATAATAAGTAAGCATATTGCACAGTTACAATTACTCCTGCGATGTTTAAGCTTATAAATGTGTTATCCACGATGAATGCATCCTTTTAAAATACATAATACTGATATTTATTATATAAATAAATTTATAAATTCTAACCATTCCAATTAGGATTGAACTCATAATTATTTTTATTGAATATATAAACAATCAGAACCTTGAAGTTCTATGAGGTTATCCTCTAACTGTAAATGTGCTTTAGTTCAATTTCTTCAGTAAGAAATCTCGTGTTATTTGTACTGTTATCTTGTAAATTTTGGCCAAATCATTGACCATTGCTTCGTTAATACAAAAGTAGATTAATGACACTTACACGCAGTTTTAAAATATATTAAGATTTATTGCTGCACAAGATAATGCTATGTTATTGGTTTAACAATAAGTGGGGTGGTGCTTTACATTCGAAAATTTATGAGGCTCATATCATAGTCGAGCTTTATAATAAAGCTGATAAATAAATTTAATGAAAAGTATACTAAATATTTATACTAGAGATGGGTAACTCACTCCGGAGTTATCACTTCGATACAATTCCTCTTTCGGAGTGAATCCGAGTGGAGTTGTCTCACAGGATTTGTCATATCCGACTTCCCTAAACTGGTATTAAATCTGTTAACATGTGCAGATATTTGCTTGAAATTTTGTACTAATGCAAAGATTTGGGTCGAAAGGAGTGGTCTTTTTCTCGTCTCACAGCCCGTTTTAGGACTTTCCAGGTATATAATGTCACAAAATAATGCTATTTTATATTTTCATTTTGTATTTTCATGTTGAAATGCATAAAATAATAATTATAATGAAATAATAAAATAAGTATTATAAAGAAATTAACAAAAGTGTTTGAACTATTTGTAAACTATGTCCAAAGTCTTAAATGCTTAGATATGTTAACAACACACTAGAGAATACATATGTGTCAAGTATTATGTTTCAAAGTTGTCGGAGATGTGGAGTTGTTAAGTGGTTATAACTCCTCTCTGAAGCGGAGTCAAATTCTAACAAATCCGGCTTTGGATATAATAAAAGTCTATCTCTAATTTATACCCTGGAATTAAATATTAGTACTATAAGATCTAATATTTAAGATCTTGCTTTATATCTGAATAGTGAATAATATTTTTATACCAAAACTGTATTTTTTATAAAATCATTTTATTAATTAATTCAAGAGTATTTCTAGTAACCCCTTCGAGGTATTTTAATATACTCCTTATTTCCAAATTATGTTTTATCTATGTTTATCTCTATTTCGATTTCATTGGACATATTCTGCATTTTAGTTTCATTATATATTCTGATGCAATTTTAAGAATTAGTTAACCCATTATTCCAGTGTACTTATATTAGAAGCTCCACGAATGGTTTATAGTCGTGCACATTAAATTTCAAAACGTATTCCGAATTCCCGCATTGTCGAATACTTTGGCATTTCTGGCGTTCCGTCGCCTGCGCTCATACTACATATACTCGTTCTACTGGGAATGGCGATGCAAAAGCTCTTGGGGAGATTTTGAGCTTTCAACATCGCGCGCTTTATGGAACTAATCGCGCGATAAATTCGTGATCTGATTTGCAAATATGATGAGCCCGTATGAACTGTGATAGATGATAATTTTCGATTATTTTGTAATAATTTGCACTTTTAATATCAATTCGGTGTAAATTCTCAAGATTGTAGTTGTTTGTTTGTCATAGTTAGATTTGTAGTTGTTTGTCAAAATTGTTATAGATCAACAAGTGAACAATTTATTTTCACTTGGATTTATTCATCAGCAGAGTTGGAATAACTATTTATTCAACCAATATCTTGTAGAATAGCTTTTCTTGAAATAATATACTTTTATAGTTATTATTTTGTATTTTACACAAATTTGCCATGGTAAAGGCTCAAATGGTCTTTTTTACCCCACCCATATTTAGGCTTTTATAGAAGAAATATAAATTAAACTGTTGTATTTAACTCATCTTATAAAACATTTAAATAATGTAGATATAACTAAAATATTAATGTTTCGTGTACAAATGCTCCCAACCTAAAAAAGACTGACGACAGAAAACACTTATTATGGATTTTCAATCATTGCTATTTATCTCGCGATAATGACATCGTAAGAATCAAGATGATGGCTGGTTATAAATGTTTTTTCCTCTACTTTCAAAAATTCTTGTTAAAAAATCCTAACTTTACTTGGTTTTGAGATATCGGTGGACTTTTATACCCAGAGACCCTTTGGGCACGATCTAGCCTCTAGCATGAATTAGGATCAGAGTTTACTGATCTTAACATATATTTAGATGTGTACAGTTTCAATCTGGGATCAAAATTTAGATGTTGTTTTTAACGTCATAATTTAGTTCCTTAAGATTTATTTAAACTATTTATTAATTAGTGCCAATTCAAACTAAGTTCTTGGGATTTCTATACTTTTCTCTAATTATCAATTGCCTAGGGTAATATATAATTTCTATAGATTACTGAAAAAGATTCTAGATATTCATATAAAAATTTATATTATAAATTCTTATATTTCTGCTAGATGTTTTATTGATTTTTGTAGTTCTTGATTTATATAGATTATCGATGATGATTTTATGTATTAGAAATTATAGTTTTTTATAATTTAATTAAAACATAAAGTTATAATTGTGTTCAACTCATCATTTCTATTAAAATACCCTTAAAGAAATGATATTTCTCAAAGCATATTACGAGCATTTCTTTAATTCATACCTTATTCACTACAATATCGATGTTTTATTCCAATATAACTTTTCAAGCAAAAGCCAACAGGAAACGATATTTTTGAATCATAGTCGCGAAAACAGGTTTTATCTTTAAAAAAAGTGAAACTAACAGATTGGCTGGCGTGCTACAATTCAATCCTCCAAATCTGAAAGCTAAAAGTTTGCAATTCCACCAAAATTAATGAAAATCAAAATCACTAAATGCTTTCATAAGCTTTAAAAAATGTAGATAACGAATAAAAAAAATAAAAACAAATTTAAAACTAAGGCCCAATATCAATCTACCTTCTTGCTACCTTCTACTACATTCAAAGGTCAAATTTTCATATGCACACAGAAAAGCTTTTACTTTTTTATTACAGCCAAGTAGAAAACTCAGAATAAACTGATTTTCACAACTGACTTTCACAACTCTTAAGTGTATGCGATGACAGTAACTCTTCATTGAAGAAGTTAATGACGTAATTTAAAAAAAAATGCAATGTAATGTGAATGCCAATAAATTAAAAAAAATGTACTGACTGATAATGATTCCATGCTATGCAAACCATGTATCAATTTGTGTATTTTGTTGAAAAAATTTTATTTCTTCTTGATATATTTTAATTCTGACTTTGTTGTTATTATTTCTAGGTATACGCGGTTCATAATCGAATGGCCGCCGTTCGAGTACGCGGTGCTAATGACAATCATCGCCAACTGCTTCGTACTCGCGCTGGAGGAGCATCTGCCGTACTCGGACAAGACAGTACTCGCACAGAAACTGGTAAATATCTAAAACCTCTCTCACTATTACATTATTTATTCATTCATAAATTGCGAAAAAAACTACTATTGATTATGTGGGGAATCTAGCAAGCTTGAGATTTTGGAGACAGAAACAAAATGACTGGTCATTTTTATATCATGATGTTTTACAATCAACAAATTATATACATTTTTATACAAATGCAATTTATATTTTATATACATAATTAAATCCATAATTGAAACAAAAATTTCTTAAAACTATTAAATTTCAGACAATTTTATAAATTTTGAAAAAAATCAAAGCGTTTCTCATGAATGATATAATCAATAAAGGGTGGTAAAGAGTTTTTTATGAATGATATAACTAATAAAGGGTGGTACTGCCCTAGGGCAAAAGTGATATAAATAATTATTGTTTTAATAATAATAAAATGAATAAAGCGAGTATAAATCCGTTGTGAATGTTAATTATTTTATTTTGTAGAGCTTCGAACAAAGAATCTAAAAAGTAATAAATAACAAAAAAGATTTTTAAAACACCATTTCTTTTTTTATTTAGAACTAGGTACATTTCATCTTCAGGACATCTGTCAGGACATAAGATTTAAGCAAACAATATGTTTGAAAAAAGCAGAAAATGGTGGATTTTTTTATATCAAATGATTGAAATTGTGGAAAAAATGTACATAAATATGACAATTTAAACAAAATAAAAATTATAATAGGTAATTATTTCATAATATACGTATACATAACGTGCTTTATATGAATATATAAACAGTTTTAATTTTCTGAGCTAAAAACTTTCTCTTAATCTTCAAAAAAATATTCATTTCATTTTTCAAAAATATTCATTCAAGTTCGGGGATGTGGCATGTTCTCTTCTTCAGGAACTATTGATAATTAACAAACAAAAATAAATATATTTTATTTATTATATATTTATACATTTTTTAATCAACTCAAAATGAAGAAGTTTATTTTCTGCCTTTGTAAATAAATTCATTATACCTTCACAAAAAATTATTTTTGAAAATATAACAAGAAAAACACATGCTTAAATAACACAATGTTCCATTATTTTTTGTCATTTTAAAAACATATATTTCAATAAATATAAATATGTATATAACATTTTTTACTTCGTTAGAATATTTACCCGTAGTTTACCCATCATTGTATCTGATTTTGTAAACGTAAAATAATAAGTTCTAAATGAATATAAAAATTATGTCATAATTGTGACAAAAAAGGAGGAAAGGAAAATCACAATGCTCAAACCTTTTTAGTTATGTATATTATCTATTCGAAAGTACTTTAATGAACCTGCTACCCTTTATTTTTTATTATTCAAACTATAAATCACACAGTGTTACTTGATGTTTATTGCAAGCTGAAGCAATTAAAAAAACATGGAATTTCAAAGCGTAACTTAATATAAATCGTTGATTAAAACTTTTAAAATTCTTCTGTACTAAACTAAAAGCTTTCTTCTGTACTAAATTTAAAGCTTTAAATTTTATTCACTCATCAACACGTGATTCACATAACCTATATCAATTGTATCAATTTTATTTTTAATCTTGGGAAAAGAATTTGATATGAATATTCATTCAATACAATTTTAATAGTCATATTTTTGTAAATGTTATTAAATTAGCAGTTCGCTATGTGAATATATATTTTTATATAGAATGAAACTATTTTTTGTGTACAATATGGTTCTTGATCTGTGTAACAAAAATTTTACAAGATTACATTGTATTTCCATTCTCAAACATAGTAAGTAAAATAAAATATTTAAAATTCTGATTGAGCTACACATAAAATTTTTCTAGAAAGAACTGTCGTTTTTTATAATGCTTGCTTTTACAATTTATTTTATAATGTAATATTTTAATATAAATAAAAATACCTATAGGTAAAATAATTCAATTCTTCTATAAAATTATGAATGATATTGTATAAGTTATATAAGTACCAATTATTATGAAATCTAAATCTCAAGTGTTAAACGGAATAAAAAGTCTTAGTGATTTTTATAATACAGTAATATATTATTTTGAAAATATATTTTCATGTATAACATTGTTAGGACATGTATATAATCGTGCTGAACACAGTTACATATTTAAAAATATCGACTTATTATTTTAATTTAAATTAATAAAAATAATTCAATTTAATAATTACTTATAATCTTTAACAATCCAATGCTATCACTCGCCATTAAATAAATGTGGTAACATAAAATGTATCTATTATATTATATTTTTGATAATGATGAAGATTTAATTACTTCAAAGGATTTTGCATAATATTTTTAATATTTTATTTTAAAAATTTGACTACTCACATAATTACCAACATTTTAATCATGTTGGAGCTTGACGATTTATATTATATTTCTTATAATCGTATAATATTTTATTTAAACGTTACTGTATTATATTTGATATTGAACAATATAAATTATAAAGCAAGCTTAGACATCGTAAGTGCTTTCAATTTCTAAAAAATGACCATAATTTACGTGAACTAAACAACTTCGTAAAACGTTAATGTCAGTTTTAATTGTAATATTAAGAATTCAAAATAGTATATATATATATATATCGGAAAACTATAAAAAATTATTATTAAATATTTATTACTATTAATATTTTTTCTTATTTTCAGGAAAAGACAGAAGTATACTTTTTAGGAATTTTCTTCGTAGAAGCATCTTTGAAAATATTAGCGTTAGGTTTTGTTTTACACAAGGGTTCATATCTTAGAAACATTTGGAACATTATGGATTTCTTCGTTGTAGTAACAGGGTAAGTTGACTTTTGCATTATTCTGTAGCAATTCTATTTTTAATCATCATATGAAAATGAAATATTCATAGCAAAATGTTGTGAAGTGAGGGTGAATGTTGAATGAATTCTTAAACTTATGTTTCTTTTTGAAACAGAAATAGATTATGGCTTAAGTAAAAAAAAATATTATATGTATATATAGATATATATATATATATATATATATATATATTAGGGTGGTCCTTAATATGGACATTTTCGGATTTCCTTGCTTCCAAGGGCTCAAATGATTCCAAATTGATAAAAACAATTCTCTGAAAGTTTTAGCTCCTAATATTGTCTTTTAGATAGAGCGCAATTCAATCAAAGTTATGTATAGAAATAGCATGAAAAAATTTCAAAATTTTGCAAAGCGTCGAATTTTCAATAAAAAATGACACGAATTTTCACTTTTAATTCATTTGTCGCTAAAAAAAAAATTTAATTTTCAAAATTCACTTCATATTGTTGTTGGCATAAGGAATAGTACATGTTTGTTTGGGTTTTTGTGCAATTTTGGGAGGAATGAATATAATAATTTTCCAAATACATCTATGGGTGAAGAATGAATGTGATCACCGTGTAATATGTGAAATGCTATGTAGATGGTATATAATTCTGGTGATTAGATCGATGACAATATTTTTCGAGAGCAACGTCGAAGTGGACCTGAGGATGCTGAGATCTTTCCGTGTGCTGCGCCCCCTCAAATTAGTTTCCCGCATACCAAGTAAGATTGCGCGATCCTTATTAATAACATATACATTGTTCTCTGTAGTGGATCCTCCTATACTATATTCATATGCTGAGGAATAGCTGACTTATTCAATTAGCGGAGACTTCGTAGTAGCTGTAAATTGTAGGACTTTCGTCAGCAGGAAGATGCTCCTTTTAGGCTAACTTGATAATTATGAATCTCTTTAGTTGATATTAACTTAGGTAAATTGGCTGGCCCAACTGATAGTGAATATTATACACTTGAAGATAAAGTTGAACATACATTTTAGCTTTATGTTCAATTTAGATATCTAGAATTATTTAACATAGTTTTCTAGTGGATAACATAATATTTTTATAGTATTTTCTAAATAAACATTATGTTTTATAATGTAGAATAAAACATTATGTATTTAGGGGCCGATTCTGTCGTAAAATGGACCAATGTTATGGCAAGGCTATGTTACGTAAGGACTTGCATATAAAGTGGTACTGAAAACTGTGAAAATGTTATGTATTTGTTGTGCAGTCAGGTGTTTTACACATTAAATGTAACTTTATTCATTTGTTATTATGTCACATCACTAATGATAAAATTATTTGTTTGGCGTTTGTGCGCTTTCTAAGTTTGGTTTTTTATCTAAAACAACTGACTGCACAGCAATCACATAGCATTTGGACAGTATTTAGTATTATTTTGTATAAGAGGTGCTACATAATATAGCCTTGCTCTAAAATTTGTCTATTTCTCGCCAAAATCGGACCATTAGTGCCAATAATGATAATTTTTTCTAGTTCAGCTCAACGTAAAATTAATAATTTATTGCTGTAGATATTAGATCAGTGTATTTATATATCATACACAACACAAAACCGTACAACAACGATCTTAGTTCTTGAATTTGACCAAATATATCGTCAACTACAGTTTTTTTAATCAAAATTCAATTTTTTTAAATACAAAACTCTTTATGACTTTTTTACGATTGAGTTATTATTGAAATTATAATTTATCAAATAATTTTGGTTTCATAATATTGTAGGTGAATATTAATCAATACCAATCAATAGTATTGGTTATTATAGTAGGTGAATACAATTAATAGTATTGGTTTCATTTGCTCGGTATCAGTATAAAATGTATTGCTCTTTACGTATATTTACTTACTTTAAATTTAAAATTTTATTTTAAATACTTATTTTATTTTATATTTGTAAGAATGTATAGATTTCGATGTTCGTGAATCGTTTATCTTTTGTGAAATATTTCAATTATTATTTCAAAATTTTGAAATTTGAGTGAGTATTATAGATGCTATAGATACTATTAAGAGTGCACTCGAAAATAGGCCCATGATGTGAACCATATTTTTACAATCCTTTTCTTTTGTTTTCGAAATTTATTACTCTACTTTTAAAATTACTGGTTTTGTATTTTATGTCATGTACCTCGGTTTTCAATTTTTTGTCCATTTATTTTTCATAGTATAAAACTCTCCACAATTTTTACGATTGAGTTATTATTGAAATTATATCTTATCAAATAATTTTAGTTTCATGATATTGTAGGTGAATATTAACCAATACCTCTAGTATTGGTTTTATTTACTCAGTACCAGTATAAAATATATTGTTCTTAACGTATAATTATCGCTATATTTTACGTATTTTAAATGTGTAATAATGTACTGCATATGATGTTCGTAATTCGCTTATTTTTTGTGAAATATTTTAATTATTATTTCAAAATTTTGAAATTTCAGTGAGTATGATAGATGCTATAAAAACTATTAAGGGACCGATTCTGCCGCAATGTTATGATAAGTTCATGTTATGAAGAATTTTCCATAGTAATATAGACAAAAGTTATGCGGTTGGTGTTCAGTCAGGCGAATTTCTCAGGTTTTCTCATACAAAACATAACCTAAAAGCCGCACAAATGTCAAAAAAACGATGTTAGATAAGTGTGTGTTTCTGATTTCTCTTAGGTAACATACGAGTGACATTGCAGTTTATGTTTAAAACGCCGGAATGAACAGCAAATACATGATATTTTGACAGCATTCAGTATGATTCATTCGCATAATGTATGGGGAGTCGGAGCATAACATAGCCATGCCGTAACATTTCTCTGTTATGCGCAGAATCGGTCCATAAGAGTGCACTCGAAAATTGGTCTATTTTCTCTTGTTTTTGAAATTTATTGATCTACTTTGAAAATTTCTGGTTTTGTATTTTGTCATGTGCCTCGGTTTTCAATTCGCTGTTAATTACTTCAGCAACATTCCAAAGACACCATGATACTACATAATATACACATAGTATATAATATACACTTCTGTATAAACAAATTATATCTACTAATCTAATAACATCAAATTTTATTTGCAGATATAAATTATTAGATAAAAACTGCCCATAGAAATTTTAGTTTACATAAGAATACTATGTAGTGCTTTAGTTCCTAGAATCATACTAACATAATATGTATTTATACCCGAATATTTATTATGAATATTACGTAGTTGTATATGTAGAATAATTAGAATTCGATATCGAGTAGTGGCCGTTTCTGTAGCGTAGACGCGCTTGTTTTTGACCCGCAGGTTCGTCACGCAGTTCGTGGACACTCACGAAAAAGTCGATCTGCGGACGTTGCGGGCCATCCGGGTGCTTCGGCCACTGAAACTCGTGTCCGGTATACCGAGTGAGTATCATTAGGCAATTGAATAGTTTTTGTGTCATTGAAAACTAACGTAAGTAAAAATAAATTGCATTTTATTACGAATAAGTGAAAAAATTCACGAATTTAGACAAAAAAGTTACTAATGGTATCTTTCAAAGAATATTTTTTATATCACGGTCTATTACATGGTTTTATTTCGGCTACATTTCTAGTGCTTTGGACCATATTTAAAGTTTTTTGTATCATTTGAAGTTGGGTATTCCAAAACTATTAATTAGGCGTGATTTATTAATTAGGACTGTTTTTTAATATTTATCAAATTTGACGTTTCTTATTGCTATTTTATATATTGTTATACTTATGTGACTCGTTTTTTATCACATATTAAGCCAAAATTAATTTAAGCGTTTTATTTCATATTCTAATGTTACAAATAGAAGTATTACAATGAATTCTTCCATAATTCATTTGGTTAATAAAAAAACTACATGAATGTTCGAATTATAAAAGTTTTTGTTTAGTGTCAGACATAGAAACATTAAAGTTTCCTATGAATTTTTGTGTGAAAATGTATAAATCAACTTAAATATACCTAAATAAAACAGTTACGTTTTTGGACAGCACATCCAACTTATACTTATAGTATATACGGTTAAAAAAAATTTCAAGTAACGTTATTTTTTTTTTTTTTTGAAAAGTTATAATCCCTAATATTTTGTTCACGTGTGAATTCTTAAAAGCATATGTAATTGGTTCCTATATAAATAAATATGAATAATTATTTTATTTCGATTATAACATTATGAAATTATGAAATTACTTATTACTCAAGTTTTTTATTCAAACTATTTAGGGTTCTAATGTGAAAAAGCTTGGAAATAATTTTTGTTTAAACTCGTGTCTTGAAAATATAATTTTAGGAGTAACAACTATTAAAATACTTACAAAAGCACACGAGACAAATGGTACTAGTCTATATCCATTTAATTCGTGCAATTCTACAGATTACTCTGTTTATAGCAGAATGAAAATATTCTACATGTGTGAAATTTTAGAATTAGTTTTTATACGCTGATCAAAAAGCACCGAGAAAATTAGTTCAACCACAAATGCATTGGAGATTTTAAATTGGATCTCTTTATACATAGATAGAGCAAAATCTGCTATCAAAGCTACAAATAGTGAATTTAAATAAAAATCTAGTATTTATTTACTTGTTCTGTAAATAAATAGACGCAGCTAATTTGTAATGGATTTGTATACAATGATTTAAGTAAATGTTTAGAATATAATATTTATCCAAAATTAGATAATACTATTCATTTTTTACATTATGAATTAGAAATTTAGTTATAGAATTATTAGAGGTAATATATAATGTTTGTAAGTTTGTAGCTAACATAGTAGACACAATGTGATTTTCTTTATCTCACAACAAGTTAGAATATCTTATTGATACCTATGTTCGAACATCTAGGTCTCCAGGTGGTGTTGAAGTCCATTATTAAGGCAATGGCCCCTCTGCTGCAGATCGGATTGCTTGTATTATTCGCTATTGTTATTTTCGCCATTATCGGCCTTGAGTTTTACTCGGGCGCGTTGCACAAGAGCTGTTACAGCATATCCGATATCAGTAAGTCTCAAAATAAATAAATAAATATATGTATATATATATATATATATATATATATATATATAATCTTATTATCCATTTTTGGGAGGGTAGATTTTGCGGGAAATCTGATAGGTTTACGAGTTTGGTAACACATTATATGATAAGAGGCCTAGAAAAGTGGTTCAATAATAAAAATTTATCAGATTTTAGTACAATGGACTGAGTCAAATTTAAAAAGTCCTTCGTAACAATTAGCTGGTAAATTTTACCTCCCATTGATCAAGCCAGGAAGTTTATGCAAAATGCTGTTAACACGTATTTTCGTATGAAATCCGCATAAGCAGTTTACTGGCAAAGTTTTCATTGCATCATTATTTTTAACCGAAGGAGAAGTTTGTTTTCATAAAAAAATCAGGTTAAAATAACTACCTAAGTTAAAATCAGGCTAATTTTAATGAGACCAAAATTGGAATAAGTATGTATGTGTGAAATATTTTATATAGTTAAAGTCGTAACAAATATTACTATAAAAGAAATAATATCTATAAAAAGAATTTGCCATTCTTATACTATAACCCCTACATCATAAGTTTTATTACGTGTACTTGTATAGGCTTATGTATACCTAAATATTCCATACTATGTTGTTCTAACTTATAACTAACTATATGACACACTTTATTTTCACCACACCCTTTATACCTTTTACGCCTAATATTATTATTCAACCCCTTCAATTTTTCTTAAATGCAAACTTTTCCATCCCTACCGAGTATCAAATCCGGGCTCTCTGCGTGGCAGTCAGTTAACTCAACCACTGGACCACCGTGACGCTACGATCAGTCGTCTTTTTCCGTGTATCGTCGCGTCACCTTAATACTAATTACCTAATTCATTAGTGAAGATACCGCGAAAAAAACAGACTTCCCAAAGTATTATATAGTTGGGGGACCTAAGAGAGTAATGGGTAAAGTGTTGGGCTACAACGTGGGGCCTCGAGTTCAGTCCTTGGTATAATAGAGAAGAAGAGACAATTATAGAAATACAATATATAATAAAAATAATAAAGATAGAATATGTGGCGCAAGGTAAAAATATAGAGTATAAATAATAAATTAAAGGGTTACTACGAGCAAAAAAATATTTATAGGGTGTACATTTTATAGTTATATAGTAAGTTGAAAAGCAAACAATAATAATGAAATGGTACTAGATTTATGAGTATCTATAGATATCTATAGCATTTGATGGTACAGGTATCTTACGGTATGATAGGTGGTAATAATTAGATTTCAGTTAATATTTATTTGCAAACTGATTCTAAAAAATGAACCTATCTGTTAATGTGATGATAAGAATCTATTTCGTTTTTTAGCTAAAATAATAAAGGACGGCGAAACGGAAACTCCGTGCCATCCTGAGAACGACGACAGACTGAGGCCGTCCGGAGCGCACGCCTGCCAGAACGATTCCACGTGCATAGAGCAATGGACGGGGCCAAATTTCGGGATCACGTCTTTCGATAACATCGGTTTCGCCATGCTGACGGTCTTCCAATGCATCACCATGGAGGGCTGGACGAACATACTGTACTGGGTAAGAATATTTTCAATATTTTGTGATTATAACGGGTGGTCCATCTAGTGGTCCATCTAGTGGTCCTTGTGATCTAGTGATGTTACGGTTTAGGTTTAGATATTTCTGTAAAGAAAATATATAAAGTATTATACATCATTAGAAAGGTGTCAAAATTCTTAGTTTTTCCCATATATCGCAACTTTGAATTCCGTACGGTGTGGCCTACAGGCAACTTGCTATCGATAAATTCCAATTTTTCAATGGATTACCCTATACTTTTTAAGCAATTAGTCAACACCCAATTTGTTTTATATATACTTTGGGAGTTATTGTTTTTAAATGTATATATGTATAATATGAAATAATCAAAAATTAGCAAAAAGGCACTGACAAATAATAATTGTTCTGTTTCAGTATGTTCATTTAGAGTTCTTAAGTGCATACCATTTAATTATGACGAATTTGGAATATTCATTAAGACTTTTGAATTATTTAATCTTCAAATTCTCAAGATTAAGTAGCCGATTCTGCGTAGCAGGCTTATTTCTGTAAAATAAGCCGATGTTTACGTAACAGGCTTAATACAAACTGTTTATTTGGTATTTGTTTATTTAGATTAGGTTGCTTATATAAAAAGCTTAACTGCACATCAAATACGTGGATTGACAGTATTTCGTACTATTTTGTATGAGAAGTCCTACGTAACATAGCCTTTCCATAAAATTTGTCAATTTTACGGCAGAATCGGCTCCTAAGTATTCAATTTTCAAATAAATAACATCTCTCGCTACTCGCATCCAACTGCTGATGAGAAGAATTTGAAATGTTAAAAAAAACATAATATACAACCATTTTCAGCAGATATTTCAGACTCAGACATTTTGCATAATTAGTTTGGTTTTGATTACTCTATAATATCAGATACGAAGTTTAATTAAGGAACTTTTTCATGTATTTTAGGAAAAAAAATCTCATAATAGAGATATTTGTTTGCAATATCTATTTGCGCATTTCAAGAACAAGAATGTAATTTTTAAAATATAACCAAACATAAAGAAGATTTTTCGTAAAGAAAATATAGTTTCAAAAATTCAAAACTATTCGAAATCAGCAATGTTACATTTTGTAAATTAATGTGAATTAATAATGAATAAAGATTTTTTTAAATTTTGTTTTTTTTTAATTTATAAATATATTAAATGTTGTTCATAATTATTTCAGAAATACTATTTCTGGTTCTTGACAAAATAATTAAATCATTTTCCTTTTTCTAGACGAACGATGCCTTAGGTAGTAATGCGAATTGGCTATACTTCGTACCGCTCATCGTACTGGGATCATTTTTTATGCTCAATCTAGTTCTCGGTGTGTTGAGCGGGTAAGTACATATTTTTAATTTTAAAATAGTTTAAGAAAACATAATAAATTATAGATTTATCAATATCTTAATTGTGAGAAATATATTAATATTTTAAAATAAATTTTTATCAGTTATTTCTAAACCTTGCAATAAGGACTTCTTGGAGTATAAATTTAGACCAATAATATTATACTACAAATATCTAGTTATTTGTCTTACACTTTTTTCAATGACATTTTGTAGTGAATTTGCAAAAGAAAGAGAAAAAGTAGAGAACCGACAAGAATTTTTAAAATTACGAAGGCAACAGCAATTAGAACGAGAACTCAACGGCTACGTGGAGTGGATATGCAAAGCGGGTGAGTGATTTTTACTAGTGTTTTCAAGAGCTATCAGCATAAATAAACCATAATAAAGCATAAATAATAAATGTTTTTATTATATGAAGAATTGAATTTGTAGTATTTGTTATTGGAGCACTGCTCTGATTAATAAATTTATTTCATGTCATGATTTTAGCCACAGAACCGTATTCTGCAATCGATATCTGAGACATTCTGTTGAAATTATTGGGCAGAAGGAAAACAGAAAATTGCGTCGAACACCTAGTTTTCGATTTTAGTTCCAATATTTGAAGCAATTCTTAGTCTCTCTTAGATCTCTTATGTCCAGTATTGATACCGGATTTAATCCCAAAGTTCATCATAATCCTTTCAAAGAAACATGTAACATAATTGTTTAAAGTTACAATACCAATTTTTTTTAATCACAAACTTTTTGAATGAACACTTGATACATTGTTCACTACTGTTTTACTCTAGTCTCTATTATTATACTATTCTACTTTAAACAATTCATTTCATGGATTGTAACTAATAAATAAGATCATGTTCAAATTTGAAGTTATTGTCAAAATATTATTAATTTTCAGAGGAAGTAATATTAGCTGAAGAACGTACTACATCAGAAGAAAAAATACACATAATGGAATGTAAGTTTTATTTTTGAGATCTTTTTTAATTATTTAGTTCTAAAGTTTACTGATATAAAATAGTTTATATAAAAATATCAATTTAATAATATATTTGGGTCATTCTTGACCACAGATTTTTTTTATAGATATACATAAAATCATTTGACACGTATTTTAGGATTTTTCCGGCAAAAATTTTTTCGTTGATATTTACGATTGAAATATTGCTGATTTTCTCAAATTTTATGAACTACCACTAAAATATATTCTGTCTATTAATGATTTTTTTTATAAATTCAGCTCGAAGAAGAACTGCAGCCAAAAGAAAAAAAATGAAGAAACTAGGGAAAAGTAAAAGCACAGACACTGAAGAAGAAGAACCTGAAGATGAAAGCGCTGAAGGTGATGACGGTAAGATAACGATTGACATTTTATTGTAACTATTTTTCTTTTTTTTCTTCTTAAAATAAATATATGCAAGGAATAGCTTTAAAGGAGTTACATTAATTACTATTGCTAAAACTTTTGTCAAAGTTTTACATAATCTCTTATTTGAATTAATAGTACTTCAGATAGATATATCTAGTAAAATAACTTTTGCTCATTCACAAGTCACTCGTAATATATTTTGAATGTTTGGTATGCATACGTACATTCTTCAAAATTAACTTTTTCTGTGGAAAATTACATGTTGATTTGGTCTTAAGCTTTTTGATAACAAGTGTGATGATAATATTTCAAAGTCATTGATGCTTCTAACTTCAATTTCATCCAAAATATACAAGGCTTATCATCAGCGAACCACACATTTGAGAAAAAAATATTCTTTTTTTTATTTTGCTTGAAAACATCTACTTAATTGAAAATTATATTATAGTATAGTTATATTTATGTAACTCCTTGTGATATTTTTATAATCTATAGATTTAGTATGATATTCTCGACTTAAATTCTTTACATTTTTATATATTCTGAGGGAGCATGGAGTAAATTTTAGTGATTACATTAAATTTTCTCTTAAAATATATGAGATATGCAAATAAAATTTTATATAAAAAATATAATGCAAATGCTCTATGCTCTTATCTTAATTTTAAATTACAACTTTATCTTTCTGCATTCAGAATAGTAACTATAGGTATATTTTCTAACTATTTCACAAAAATTAATTAATCATCTCAATCAATAGATTTTTTTCTACTACTTTTTAAAAACTTTTGAAAATTCATATTATCTGTCGAATCAGGAAATAAAAAACTGATAAAAAATGTTAATTATGATTTTATGAAACATGTTTTATAAAATTTGTTTGAAATACTTTCATGATTCAACAGATAGAATTTTTTTGTCAATGTATGTTTTTTTGGCTCATTCTAATTTTCAATCATGATGTTTATGTCAATCACCAGTGCACAATTTTTGAATGTGAAAAATGAATGTTTCTTTCAGCACCGACGAAAAAGCTGAAAGGTACGCTGCGCAGATTATACCAAGTGGTATAGAATGAAATCATGACCATTCTAAATAACTGTAATATAAAAACCATCACTAAATATCTAACTATATAATCGTATTGAGAACATATTATTTGGATTTGTTTAGTTAACTACGGTTGCTTTTGAGGGAAAGAATTTTTGAGTCTGGTCAAAATTGGCTGCAAATATTTGTAAAATGTACTAAACTATTTCAGTATTTTTGTTTTACTATTTTCATAAAGCAATCTTGCTAACCGGTTCATGCATTATTGCAATTACTTTAAATTTAATTTAATTTAAATTTAAATTTAAATTAAATTAAATTTAAATTTAAATTGAAATTAAATTTAAATTGAAATTTAATTTAAATTATTTTTCTCAATGGCAATCGTAGTTTTTCATAGCATCTGTAGGTGGCTGCCAGAACACCCGCGTGTAAATTACTGCTAATTGTTACTGTTTATCAGTATTATTGTTTTTTTGGTTGCTTAGGACTATTTCAACTAAAAGTTGAAACATTAAAACTTTGTGCAAAATTTAATAACGTTCGGAAAGATTCTGACAAATAAATACCCAATCCTAAAACGTACGTTTTGTTATTTGATACAAAAACACTACCGCAGAATTAAAGGCTGTGTCGAATTTGATTTGAGTATGCAAAATTATTATTGAAGATGAGCAGTATAAACTTAGAAGCTGATAATGAAAGTTCAAAGAAATTATTATATTCCACCTTTTCTCCTATGGATGTAAAACCTTATTGCTGCAGTAAATCAGTAACTTTATTCTTGCTACTAACAATTTTTTGCGAGGTGCTAAGATTAAAAAAATATATATAATATACAGATTTGAAACCAACCTAAATATCTTACCTAAATCATCAAAATTCAAATGAACAAGAAAACTTTATCTATATGAAACACTATTAACCAAGACCCAATGTTCTTCTTTCTTTTCACGTAAACTAGTCTTTACGTGAAAATAATATAAACTAAAACATCGTAAGATATTCCAATTGGTCGTTTTCTAACATCATCATACTAAATGATATAATATCTACTTTTTATACTTCTTCACATATATTGCCTACTATAACTTCACTATGATTTTACAGTAATCTCAAATACTATTACCAATATTGCATATTTATTTTAATATATTAGTAATAATTATCGTTTTAAACATTTTTCAATTATGTTACAAATATAGTTTATTATAGATTTTATAGAAAACATTTAATAATTTGAATTTTTATCCATGTACATCAATTAGTTGTAGTAATTTTTTTATAGTTATTACGTAATACAGCTTACTAAATTAAACGTCATTACTTTTGGGGTATTTGTAAATAGATTTTCCCATTCCTATAGTGTAATGCTAAAAAGCAAATAATTCTAGAAATTTTAATAAATATAGATAGAATCACGTAAGAAAATATCGCTTCATTTTGTGACTTGACTGTGAATTAAATTTGAGTGCCTAGTATCGAATATTAATGAATCATATTAAAATAGTATTGTGTATTGTTAGGGCTAGAATGTTTTCACATATAATTTTTTTTTCTATCTTTATATCAAATTTGAAAGTATAAATTAATTTTCAATATAAACACTTTTTAATATAAATATTTTATTATTTTTGTTCAATGAAATGACATTCTAGCTCCTAAAATATCTATTAGAGAGAATGTTACTATAGCGATTACGAGTGCATCACCTAGGTTAATCTAATTTAGGTTTAGGAAGAAATGTAGTGTATATCTGCTTTTGTAAATTGTTTTTATACTATGATATTCTGAGCAAATGTAAATTAATACAAATTATACTTGAAAGTTCAGGATTCATAATATAAAAACATTAATGATAACAATGCACCTCACATCATAGATGAATTGAAAGAAACTTCTTTATTACTAAATGAAGTTTTCAATTCAATAAATCACTTTCACAACCATCACTATCATTTGTCATGAAATTACTAACACCATGCAATTTTTGTTTTACATTATCATAAAAATATCCAGATGAATATTAATGAAAAATTGTTCATTTTTGTCCAAAAAATTTCTTGGTCAAAATTTCCAGTTTTAAATATCAATATACCGTTATGTCTCTCTTCAATAAAATAATATATCATTTTTTTTTTCAAGTTATTTATATTAGTTTTTTTATCACACACCTGTGGCGTGTTTTGTTACCTATATTCTGACCAAGTTGTATGGAAAAACTTATCATTCTGTACACATGTAATTACATATATTTAATAGCTTCTAACTAACCTTGTAAACATGAATTTATTTCTAATTATATTTCATTTGAATGAGCTTTTGTTTGGCGAATAATGTAATATGAATGATCAACTAATTGTTATAAAAGCTTCACAAATTTATATATTAGTAACAAATAGATTCATTTGTGCATTTTTTTCAAATTTTGATTTTTATATCTAAATCAATCTCTCCGAAATGTGCATTTTTTTTCAAATTTTGAAATTACTAGTTCGCAATCTTATTATCAACGTCTGGATATTTTTACAACAAATATCATTATTATTTAGTTTTTACTGAAATGAACTAACTATTTCTATATTGTTGTGACCAATTGACTAAATAATTTTATTATGATGCAGGTTTCGGTAGGTCTGGTTACCTCCGCAGCGTCAGAGATCGCGGAAAATGCGCTGATTTTTGGCGGGCGGAAAAGCGATTTCGTTTCTGGATTCGCAAAACTGTGAAAGCCCAGTGGTTCTACTGGTTCGTCATAGTGTTAGTGTTTTTCAATACAGTCTGCGTTGCCGTCGAGCATTACGGACAGCCCGAATGGCTAACGCAATTTTTATGTAAGTGATAATGATA